CGACGCGAAGACATCGCCCGACTTGGATTTGACCAATCCCCGTATCGTTCGGAAGATTCTGGATTGGATCAGATTGGGGTGGATTTGGTTCATATGGTTGGGGGCTCCTTGTACAAACTGGTGTATGCCCAAGAGGCCCCCTGATGCTCCTGATGATATCCACGATGCTACGGCGATAGTTACTATTCGTATTCTCAAAGCTGCCTTCAAGTACGACGTTAAATGGGTTCTGGAGAATCCTGCATATTCGAAGTTATACAGATGGACCCCTCTCAGTCTCATCAAGGCTCAGGGGGCCCAGTCGGTGCTGCTCGACTATTGTCGTTTCGGTACGCCGTATCGGAAGAGGACTCGCCTGGTTGGGACTCTTGAAGGCCTCGAGGATCTTGGGAAGCTATGCGGATGCTCGGTGCCCCATGAGGTTCTTCAAGGTCAAGTTCGCCTAGAGGTTGCCCCCCAAAAGTTCCAGATGGTCTGGAAGACAACTTTGTCGGGTATGTATCCGCCTGCTCTCTGTCGTGCTGTGGTTCGAGTTCTGGCGCTGTCAGCGCCACCTTCAGCTTACCGAACTGTGCATGAACAACCCGTCCTCCGGCGATGGCGCGAGGGCCTGGAGGCCGCGCTCCGAGATAGAGCGATCGAGTGGCCCCCTGCGCCGAGCTGCCCCCGCCGCTTCGAGCTCCCGTGGGACGACAGCTTAGAGCGGCGGGGCGGTGGCGACTCACGACGCCGCCGCCGGCGTGCCCTTGCCGCGCAGCCTCGCCGACCCGCGGCCACCAACGCCGGCGCGCCGACGCCGCGACGCCCAGGCGAAGCGGGCCGCGGCGGCGCGCCTCCGAGAACAGAAGCGGGCCCAGTTAGGCGAGACGCCCGAGGCCGGCTACCTGGCGAGGCGCTGGGTGAAGCCGGTCACGCTGGCGAGGTATCAGGAGTCGTTTCGGGTCTTCGCGACCGCCTTTCCGCCGGCGGCGGCGCCCGATTGCACTATCAGCGAGTTCGACCTCTTGCCCGAGCGCCAACTGACCAACATGTTCTTCAACGAGGGGGCGATGGCTCACGAGGCACGCAGCGCGCTGCGCGCCAGCGCGTGGATGCGCTGCGCGTCGGCGCCCAGTCTGCCGGCTGCCCTCAGCGCCCTCGACGTTGGCAAGAGCGAAGATCCACGAGGTACTCGAGATCCGTGCCCGTGGGAGGCCGTCCTCGCCATCGCCGTCACGCTGATGCGCATGGGGCCGCTGGGGCCGTTGCCAGCGGCGACGGCCCTCCTGTCGTTCGACTCGCACGTCAGAATCAGCGGCATGTGCGGCCTCAAGGCGCGGGACGTGGTGCGGCCATTGCGTGACAGGGCAAGCCCCGAGTGGGCACTCGTGTTCTTCCTCGAGCCAGACGGCGCCATGAGTAAGACTTGCACCCAGGGCAACATGATCTTGGTGGGCGAGTCTCATGCTGACAGATCGTGGCTAAACTCATTGCTGTCTCCGCTGCTGCTCGGCTTGGCGCCCGCGCAAAAGGTTTCCCCTTTCGGGCCCGCGCAACTTCGCAAGTGGTTCGTACAGGCCGTGTGGCAGCTTAACATGTCTTCTCAAAAGTTTGTTCCTCATATGCTGTGCAATGGCGGTCCGAGTATGGATTCCTTGGCCGGTGTTCCCTTTCGCAAAATTCAAAGACGTGGACAATGGGCAGCTTTTACGAGTGCTCTGAGGTGTAGTGAACATGGTCGTTACCTTCGGATTCTCCACGGACTACCAGAAGCAGTCAAAAATGCTTCAGCCGCAAATTTGCAGCTGCTGAAGACTGAGCTCCCCTCACTTATTAGAAAAGCAAGGCGCCCTTGACCCATCCCACCCAGTCCGTCAGTTTCCAGTGCCAGAGGTATTGTGGATGATTGTTGTTGCGCGGTGGCTTTCAACTTGGCCCCTGGAGTGGTGCAGGTTTCGGGGCCCCGTTTGATTGCTGCAGTTTCAGGTGAGCCGCAATGTGATTGCTACTTGAAGGTCGTCGGCTGGGGTGGGTCAGCCGCTCGTGCGAAAAGTGATTGTGTGCATCGTCTGTCTTTTTCCTGAGGGCTTTCGCTCTCTCTCGCTCCGCCGCCCCTCTCCTTTAGCCTTCTTCGATCGATGCTAAGATGTCCTTTTGGCCTCCCCCGCAATCGCTGGAGGGAATATATATATATACACACACATAACTTGTGGTATCTTAAGAGCTCAAGAGCGCGTGCGCAGACTTATTCAGTTTGAATCAACGTTTTGAAAACACTTGCGGCACCGAAGGGTCTTTACATATTTCGGAATGCGCGCGCGACGACGAGAGCGCGTGCGCTGTGTCCCGTTTGTTTGTCGTGTTTGTTTGGTTGCGTGTTTTTTGTAGCGATGTTTTTTATATAAAAAACTCATGGCTCATGAAAAAAAAAAACAAACGAATGCGCGCGCATTTCTTGGCAGAGGATGAGGGCGGTGCGATGCCAGCCTGGCTGGGGCACTCGGAGTTCACACTTCGCATGGGGGATGCGGCAACATTATGTGCACATTGCAATGCGACAGGGTGGCCCGTGCTGCCGGGGGGCGAGACGTCGAACATGCCCTGTTCGTAATACACATATACTAACAAAAAAACGTAATACCATCGATTTGTTTTTTTTGCGCAAGCTCGCGCGAACAGCCCACCTACCCGCACGTTGGTTTGCACAACCCTGGCGGCGATTGCGATGGGTGCTCGCTGCTGGCTGGTGCATCGTTGCGGCCGCGCTAGCGCGCGCAGGCTTGCTTGTTGAGTGGCCAGCTAGTTTGGCGCGACCGACGCGGCCGCTGTGGCGCTGGCCGCTGGGGAGTTCCCAGCGCGTCTGGTCGGCTTTGCTGGCGCGCGGTCGCTTTTCGGCATGCGCGCGCGGTCGACGCGCGCGAGTGGCCCGCACGGTGTCTTTGATTTAGATCGTGCCCTCCAGCACGTGCGCGTTGGAATGACTTGGACATGCGCGTGCGCGAGAGGCCCGCATGGCAACATGAGATGACAACGTTGAGGAACCAAGGGCTTTGTAGCAATGTGCAAGAGCTTGAGCGCAGGCTCGTTTGACATTTTTGTTGCGGAACCTTTGTGGTGTGCTGAAATGTCGCCGGCGTGTTCGATCCTGAATCCTTGTAAAGGAACCATGTTTTATAGTAGTAATATATGCATATGAATATACTTATACACAAATATGTATGTATGTATATCTATATATATATAGCGCACGGCGCGCGACCGCATGCGTTTTTGTTTGTGCAATGGATTGTCGCGACAACGCGCGCGCAAGGATGATTTCGGAACGCGCGTGCGGGGGTCACGTTTGTTTGCAGGTGATGGGGAGTTTGAAACAATGGAACCCTTGATAATTCGCAAAAGCGCGAACGCGTTCTGGTTTGAAAATCCTTGTTGCGAAACGCATGTGTGCTTTTATGTTTTCGGGATGTTCAGTTTCAGATTTCCGAAACTGTGAACATCTGACACATCCCAGCATGCGCGCCCGACGGCGCGCGCGTGCATTTCGTTTCTTGTTCATTGCAAACGGTGCTTGGAGTTTATTGTCGGAGATGAAACATGCGTGCATGGTGTGTTGTTTTGCTTCCGCAAGGGACGGGGAAAAGGGCGGTCGATGCCCGTTTCGCTGGATCATACGAATTTATATCCAGGCGGGACGATTGTGCATCATCTTTTGCAAATGCCACACCCCCAGAAACCGCGGATAAGCCTGGCCCCTGGGTGGTGGTGGATCTCATTATTCCAAGAAGGAACATTGGTGCAGTAATTCGTTATGCCGAGCTTGAAGTGGACTATTGTACTGCTCGCGCAGACATCATCCCACCACCCGCCCGCATTTGGGTTACAGAACCCATGCAGACGAGGGCGAGGGGGAGGATGATGAATGCGAGGCGGAGGCGAAGGAGGAGGAGGAGGAGGATTACCAGGATTACCACCATCACAAGAACGAGATACCATTGCGTGGCACCCCCTGATCGCGATGAGCCCCGCGGCTACGAATAACATGAGGCCCGTCCGTGGCGCCCGCTGGGAAGTTGGTGGAGCACGAAAAGCAAATTTAATGCCGCCAGATGAGTCCCGCGATCATGAAGATGTTCATTCCTTCCAGGCTAGGCTACCAAGAGCGGATCAAACAGCACGCATTTTGGCGCGCCGCGCGTTCTGACGAGCCCGAGGCGGCGGGCGCACTGCCTTCAGATAGCTGCGCACCGCCCAAATTGTCCTCCGTGGGGCACCACTCCACTCCCACGCGAGACCAGTCCTCCCCGCGCTCGCCCGGGCGGGGGGGCCGAGCCGTGGGGGGACTGGGAGGGCAACAACGGGCGACGAGGAGCAAGAATCCCCCCCGTGCCCGCCCCTGCTGAACATAGTTGTGGAAGTCGATTTATGGAGAGGAAGCATGCTGCCAAATAATTTCCAGATGCCCAGAAGATGCTGCAAACATGTTTTATATACGTGTATATATGTATATATATGTTAAAACAAGTTTGCAACATTGTTAGAACATGATTTGCACATGTTAAACACATATCTAATTCAATGATCGGATTGTTAGAGTGTCCATTGTCATGGCATCCACAAGAACATCGCGGTTACCCACGATCCTGGGACAGACACAGACAGGGTGACGATCGCGCTGCAATCCGCTTGTTCTCCCAGGAAAAGGTCCCAGGGGCACAGGTGCGAGGAAGAGGAGGAGGAGGAGGAGGAGGAGGAGGAGGAGGAGGAGGAGGAGGAGGAGGAGGGGGATCGCACGCCACTGAGGGGAACGGGGGGGAGAGAGAACCCCGACAGTCTGACAACACTCCCTCCCAATGGGGGGCCCATCCGAATTGACCTTTTGCCGACCACAGGCAGGACGGGAGGAGGGGTCGGAGGGGGGAGGGCAGGAGGAGAACGATGAACGAGGAAGAACAGGAGCAGGAGGAGGGGAGCTTGCAGATGCCTGGCCCCCGTCCTCCCCCCCGCCCCCCAGCGCGCGCGAGGGACAGCCACAGCCGCGGATCTGCTGACGGCCGCAGCCGCCGCGGGTCGAGCGAGGCGGGCCTCTCCTCCCTCGAGAGCGGGAGAGAGGGGAGGCGACGTGGTACGGGGTTGTGACCTGCATGGGGAGCGAAAAATGATGGGCCCATTCTCCACCACCACCACCACCATGAGTAGGAGGAGGAGAAGGAGGAGGAAGAGGAGGAGGAGGAGGAGGGAGGAGGAGGAGGAGAAGAGGAGGAGGAGGAGAAGGAGGAGGAGGAGGAGGAGGTGGAGGTTGAGGAGGAGAAGGAGGACCTCCTCATCCTCCCTTCCCCCCCGTCCTGCATATGGTAGTGGTGGTGGAAAAGTTGCCCATCAAACAAGGGCCCCAGAGGGGTCTTTTCCCCCCCCCCCCCCCCAGGAGATTCGATTTCTTTACAACCCGAACGACACTTTACATCCGAGATAGGCCTCTTTCACAACCAGCAAAGGATCGAATTCCTTGGCTTTCTTTTGAGAACGACCACTTTACAACCAGAACGGCCTACTTTACAACCAGAACGACCACTTTACAACCCAGACGGGGCCCTTTGCAACCAGAACGGCCACTGTACAACCAGCCTTCAGAAGCGGAAGCGCGCGCTGCAGGGGTTTCTGAAGCTTCTGAGCGTCCGGATGCTCAGCAGAGGCATCTGAGCGCCTGAGCGCTTTGCAAAGGTTTCTGAGCGCCTGAGCGCTTTGCAGAGGCATCTGAGCGCCTGAGCGCTTTGCAGAGGCATCTGAGCGCCTGAGCGTTCTGCAGAGGCTTATGAGCGCCTGAGCTCCCTGCAGAGGCTCATGAGCGCCTGAGCGCTCCAGGTCTGTCCGCCGTACTTTTTGTCCGGACCCGAGGGCGTCTTCGGCGGCAGGCGAGAGGGGGAAGTGAGAAGGAGAAGGCCTCCTCAGAAGGTCGCGGGACTTCTCAGGAGCCATGGCGCCTTCCGAGAGCTGTTCTGTATCTTCGGGGGTGGCTCAGAAGACTTCTCAGAAGCCCGGGGGACTACCGAGCCTTCTGAGAAGGCCCGCCTCTTCTCACTTCCCCCCCGCGCTAGCCTCCCAGGTCCAGAATAATGAATTTCCGGCATCGCAACAAATCACCACGGGGAGCCCCCCGCACCGCATCTTCCTGCTCCATTCTTCGAGCCGGATCGATCTGGGAGGGCCCCGGGGGCCGAAGCCGGGCCAGCGCGCCCGCTGTGGAACAATTGCCACGCCCGGATCTGCGGGCTTCGCACGGGGCTAAGTAGGACGGTTGCAGATCCGTTCCAGAGCGTTCCGGAACGCGTCCAGAGCGTGCCAGAGCGCTCCGAGAAGGCCGCGGCGCCCGAGGCATCCTCCAGACTCCGATGCATCCCTGGGAAGTCAAGTTCTGACTTCGTCCTGGTCCCGAACCCCGTTAAATCCAGCCAAATCCCGATTGAAATCTAGCTAAATCCAGTGCCACCCGGCTCAATCCGCGGCCCAATCCGGCGTAACAGCCCCCCAATGGGGCTTAGGCCTCCTAATCTTTCCGACGAAGACCTCCTAGTAGTTACCTCCTCTATTCCTGAGCCGCCGGCTCTCAGAGATTCTCAGAGGTCCACCCCCAGAGGTCTGGACCCCTTCCCTGGGACCGGCTTCTCATCCTGAGCCGTTGTTTGACACTTCCGAGGCCCGGTGCGGGCCCGCAGAGGCAGGATAACCAAAAAGCTTCCCGTGGTGTTTTTTTCTTTTTTGGTACGCGGGCGCGCGAAGACGAGTCGAACGCCGTGCAAGCTAGGGCGGGCCGCGCCGAAGCAAACGGGAAAACAGCGAAGCGAGCGGCGCCCGGCTCATAGCGGAACAGGGGGCTCAACGCGGCCAAAAAGGCGCGGGAGGCATCACAGAACAGCATCAGAGCCACGTCGACAAATGGCGGTACCAGGTGACGCAGGTCGTGTTTTTTTCGCCACGCGAGGGGTTCTGGGGAGCCGCCTGGCCTCGGACATTCTCGATCTTAGGGAACCGAATTCTATACACCGACGCCTTTGTCTGGCCTCACACTGAATCTCGCACAGGAAAGCGGATCCTGGTGTATACGGGATCCTGGTATATACATTCTTCGTTGTTTCCCCCGGAACACGGGGAAAAAGGTATATGCCACACCACCCCGACGTCGTCCCCGACCCTCAAAAAAGTCCTGGGATTGTGTTCGGATATATATATATATATATATATATATATATATATATCAATTCAGAGGGGTACCCTGTCGGGGAGTCCCAGGGCCAGGCTGAGGACAGAGAATGAAGTCTTGCACCGTCGCCATAATTTGGCTCAAGAAATCCAGCTCCTCCCCTCCATCATCGGACATCGGGGGAGGAGATATGCTTTGCATGGTAGCGGAGCATGTTCTGATCCACGGCAATTCTGCTGAGTGACTCCAGAGAGTCACGGGTCAGCTGCAGCCATGGAGCAGCAGGTGCAGCTGCAGGCGCAACAGATCGCGGAGTTGAGAGACTTGCTACAGAGGCAGACGCAGGAGCTCCAGAGGATGGCAGCAGCACAGCCTGCAGCACCAGCGCAAGCAGCAGCACCAGCGCCCCCTGCAGCGCCACGACGGATGGAAGGCATCCTGGACAGCAATATCGTAGGCAAGGTCAAGCAGTTTGATGGACAACGCTCCTCGTGGAAGACCTTCGAGTTTCACTGGAAGGCCTATCTAGTGGCCAACGACTTTCGTTTCAGGAGACTGTTCCAGGCCATCGAAGATGAACCAGATGTAGCTATGTTAGTGAACGACGTAGGCAGCGTGAATAATCCAGACTTCGAGCCTCTTTCCAGCCAGCTGTACTTCATGTTGGTGCTTGCGATGCCCGAGGACAGCACGGGTGAGAGCATCCTCTCCAACACAGCAGAGGGCGAGGGCGCCCTGGCATGGAAGAAGCTCTTGAATGAGTACTCTCCCAACGAGCCTGGTAATATCGTGGGACAGTTCAGGAAGATTCTTGGCACTGTGTTCCCTAAAGATGCTGACATCGTCGCTGAGATCATGAAGCTGCTGGACAAGGAGATCGCCCGCTATGAGAAAGCAAGCGGTGAGACAGTGTCAGCGAATATATCTCGAGGTATCCTCCTAGGTGCTCTTGCAGAGGAGCCCGACCTCCAGAAGCACTTGTTCCGCAGCCTTCGTAGCCTGCCCACCTACGCCGACGTGCGAGCGGAGGTGGTGAACGCCCTCGCAGCCCAGAGGAGCGTGAATGAGGATGCCATGGACATCGGCGCGCCCAAGGGCGGCAAGGCGAAGGGCGGCAAGGCGAAGGGCGGCAAGGACAGCAAGGGCAAGAAGGGCAAGGGCTACGAGTCCCAGGCCTCAGAGAAGTGGTGCAGTTACTGCGAGAAGCCGAACCGCGTCCGCTCCGAGTGCCGCAAGGAGGCTGCGGATGATCGGCGACGCGAGGCAGATGAGGCCGCGACGAAGGCTAAGCATGACAAGAAGGAGCGCCAGAAGCAGCGGAGGGCTCAGGCGAAGGCTGGAGCCTTGTCCGCTGGCACCATGCCGACGCTGCCAGGTGCAGGGGCTCAGGCGCCGCCGTCACCACCAAACCCAGGTGCGCCAGGTACAGCGCCATCCTGCGCCGCGAGCAGTACGAGCACCATCCCTGTCGGGCTGCGAGCTTTGACCACGAGCTCGGAGGGCACGTCCAGCACCATCGCCCCCAAGTTTGTTTTCGGGCTGGAGGCGATCGAGGCCGAGGAGAGGCAGGCGACCATCGCAGCGGTTAGCCACAAGCCGAAGGGTGCGATCATGATCGACAGCGGTGCGCAGATCTCGGCCATGCCCAGCAAGATGGTCTACGACGCGGGCTACACGACCCAGAAGTCGAAGATCCAGGAGCAGCATGCGGTTGACGGGAGCAAGGTCCCTCACCATGGCCGCACTGACGTGAAGATTCGACGCGGAGATGCAGTCCTGCAGCTGGGTATGGAAGTAGCCGACATCGAGTGCCCCGTCCTCTCCACAGATGCCATCACGAGGCGAGGCCAGTCAGTCTTGCACTCGCCGATGGGAGACTGGATCGTGGATGCGCCGATGCTGCCGCCCGACGGCGCCGAAGTGATCAAGCTGAAGAAGGAGCGCTCGGCCTGCTACTTGGAGTTCGACGAGCTGCTGAAGGAAGGCCAGAACGCCGAGCAGAGCAAGGTCATGGCGGCTCTTCGACCGCAGGAGCCTGAGGAGTCTGTGGGCATTTTGGCTGCAGCACGCAAGACGCTGGCGCCCACGACGGTGCCTACGAGTACGTCTGCGGCTCTTCCTCGAGTGCTTGGTCCAGACCCCTCGGAGAACGTCACCCTGAAGGCGAAGGAGCTCACGAGACCAGGACAGCCGACGGCGCAGGAGAGGCGCGCCCATGCGGCACACCACCCGCCGTTCAGGCCTTGGTGCCCCGAGTGTGTGATGGGGCGAGGCCGTGAGCAACCGCATCCGAAGCATCAGAACAGCCCTGAGCTTGACGCGGACCAGGTACCGATTGTGGAGATGGACTTCTTCTTCGCGGCTACCGACGAGATTGCGAGGGAGTGCCCGATGCTCCACGGCTACGTCGTGAAGCTCGTCGAGGCCAAGCGCATCCCCAGGGACGAGAGGCGCACGATGATCCCTGTGCTGAACATCGTCGACGGGAGGTCGAATGCGCTGGGCACACTGATGACGAACAAGACGGTCGGGCAGTACAAGACTCTGTACGTGGCGAAGCTGATAGACTCGTGGGGTCACACCACAGTTGTTCTACTTACTGATGGCGAACCCGCTATCGTGGCCATAGCCGAAGATGTCAAGAAGCATCGGAGCCATGGCACCATCGTTCGTAAAGCCGCCGCTCATTCCCATCAAAGCATGGGGCGCGTGGAAGGCGCCAACTCTCTGGCAGCGGGCCTCTTGAGGACATTCAGGTTCGCTCTGGAGAAGCGGTTGGAAGTCACGCTCGACGCCGACCACCCGATCCTACCCTTCGTGACGAACGCGATCGGCTGGTACATCACTCGCTTCCAGCCGCGGGAGCACGGAGGGTCCTCCTACAAGTTTCTCTTTGGCAAGGAGTACGATGGAGAAGTCGCCGAGATCGGCGAGCAGGTTTGGTATCGGATCGCTGGGCGGGTTGCCAGCGGTCAGGGCAAGTACGAGGCCCGCTTTGCAAAAGGCGTGTGGGCAGGCAAGTCAGAGTTCGATGACCAGCACCTAGTCGTGGACTTGCAGCGCGGGCTCCTCAAGGTGCGCACGGTGCGCCGCATGCCCGAGGAGTTCCGCTGGTCCGACGACCTGCTGAGGCAGATCAGCGTGACGCCCTGGGACCCCACGCCCGCTAGGGCCAAGGAGATTGCGAGGCCGAAGGAGGATGATCGACAGACATGGACCGACTTCAGAGTGCCTCAGATGCTCTACAGGACGAGGCCAGCACTCCGACGCGCGCAGGCAGAGGTTCGAGCTCATCGTCCAGGAGGAGCTCGAGCGGAGGCTCAAGAGTGAGGGGGCCTCGCCAGCGACACCTGCGCCGCCAGGCGTGATGCCTGGCACGCCCGTGCCTGAGAGCGCTCCTGGTCCAAGTCAGCGTTCACCGCCTGAGGACCGAGCGCCGGGCACGCCGAGGCCAGGGGCGCAGGTGCAAGAGGGCGCGTCAGGCCAACATCCCAGGAGCTCTGTCGGGGACATCCCAGACACGCCGATGGACACCACGGACGAGACAACGCGCAAGCACATGGTCGAGGCGGTAGAGACCGAGGACCAGAGCGGCAAGCGACAGAGGATCGAGCTTCTTGGCGTGAGGCCTGAGGTGACCGTCATCGCAGGCCTGTCGGTGTGCGAGCTCGCGGTCTGCGAGGCTGACGACTCCGAGGAGTGCGACCCCGTCTGGGGCCCGATCCCCACGCCAGAGAGCCGATGCGACGGCAGATGCCCATCACATGGAGGACGGTGTGCGCTTCGAGCTGGCCACCGTGGGGGCTGCGCCTGTCGGCTCTGCCTGATCCACGCTGCGCGCGCCGTGGAGGCCCCGAGCGCGGTGGTGGCGGGCCTGTGCGCCATGTGGGCTGACGGCCTGGACGACGAGGTCGAGAGCCCGCAGATGGTCCACTACGACTACTACTCAGGCGAGCCGCTGGACGAGGAGCTCTACCAGGAGGGCAGGCGCGACGAGTTGGAGGCGATGCGGGAATACGGAGTCTACTCAGAGATCCCCATCTCGCAGTGCCAGCCAGGAGGGAAGCACGTAAGGGGCTTTCCGATCGCCCACATGAAGGGCGACAGGGTACGCTGGAGGTTCGTCGCGACCGAGGTGGACGACAAGCACCGCGAGGACAACCACCAGGGCACGCCGCCGCTGATGGTCATCAGATTGATCATCTCCCTCGCAGCGTCCAAGCCCGACGCTGACGGCGTGCATCGCCGCCTGCTGCGCGTCTGGGACGTCCGCAAGGCGTTTTTCAATGCGGACTTGGACGAGCTGGTCTACGTCCATCCAGGCTGGGAGCTTTGCCCGAAGGGATTCTGCTGGGTCCTGCACAAGGCGATGAATGGGACGAGGAAGGCCTCACAGCTCTGGGGCGAGACGAGCAAGGCAGCGATCGACGACGCTGGAGGCAAACCTCTGAAGGGCACAGCTGGCACCTACCACTTCGAGAACCTCGTGGGCGACGGCATGGACTCCACGATGTGCTGCCACGGCGACGACTTCCTGGCGGAGGGCCACCGCGACACCCTTGACGCCATTGGCAACTTCCTGGAGGAGAACTTCGAGGTCACCGAGTCCGAGAGCATCGGCCCAGGTTACCCAGGTGAGCTGAGCTACTTGAAGCGCGTCGTGGGCTACACGAGCGAGCTGCCCGAGACCAGGGTTCCAGGCTTCTACTGGAGCGCCGACCCGAAGCACGTGGCGGAGCTCATCCGCTGGGGCCGCAAGTCGGGCTCCAAGGCAGCGCCTACCCCTGGAACAAAGGCTACGGGGGCAGGCATGCGGAATGCCCTGGACCCACTGCCTGCGGCCGAGGCCAAGTCGACCTCGTCAGCGGCGGGACTGAGCCTGTACGTCTCGAGCGACAGACCTGACGCCATGTTCAGCTCCAAGACGATCATGCAGCACGTCAGTAAGCCGAACGTGCTGATGAACGCGCGTCTGCACCGCCTGTGCAGGTACTACGAGGGCGCGCCGAGGCTGCTCTGGTGCTACGAGCTCCAGGACTTGCCAGAGGTCCTGCGCGTGGACGCGGACGCGGACTGGGCGTCTACGACTAGCCTCTTCAGGACGTCGACCTCTGGAGGAGTCGTCCGTTTCGGAGGCCATACGGTCGAGGCGTTCGCGGTCAGCCAGGCTACGCAGGCCTTGTCGTCGGGGGAGTCTGAGTTCTACGCGATCGGCAGCGGCTCCGCACGGGGCTTGCAGGCGAAGCACTTCCTCGGCGAGGTGGGCGTCACCGTGCGCCTGGTCGTGGCCAGCGACAGCGCTGCTGGCAGAGGGATCTGCCAGCGCCACGGTGTGGGAAAGGTGCGCCACCTCGAGCTGCGGTACCTCTGGCTACAGGACCGTGTCCGATTGCGACAGCTAGAGTTGATCAAAGAAGCGACCAGTGAGCTGGTCGCAGACATCCTCACGAAGTACGTGGAGTCCGAGACGCTGTACAAGCACATGGCGACCATGAACCTGCGGCTCGTGCCGCTCGGAGCAGTGGTGGTGAGCGCGCTGCTGCCGACGGCGCGCGGCCAGGAGACGGAGGCGGGCGCCAAAGGGGCGCCCTGGCTGCTGATCGTGATGGCTCTGAGCATTGCGCTGCTCTCTTTCCTCGTAGGCTGTTGTGCTGGAGCCCGAGTGCGCTCCACCGCGGTTTGCGACGAGCGACCAGACACGCTGAGTGAGGACAGTGCGGCTCCTGAGCAGACCGCAAGCGACGGAGATGCGAGAGCGCAGCTTGTTCTCTCACGGCTGACAGTGCCTGACCTTAGGGCGACGGCTCGTGCGAACAAGATTGGCCTTGGTTCGGGCTCAGTGCGGAAGGAGCGCCTGATCGAGATGATCATCTCGGCTGGTGCGGGCCCGAGTGTGGAGCAGGTAGAGCGCCTAGAGCGTGTGCGTGCCCTGCTTTCTAAGGCTGGTCTCACTTGTTCTGTGCAGCCACGCCTCCTGCTTACGAAGCAGGCCCTGGAGAGTCATTTGGTGCTGTTGGAGACGGCTTGCACGCCGTTGCGGAAGATCTCGGAGTGATCACCGAGACTGGAAGTAGCGATGCAGTTTTCGGCCCTTCACCGCTCCATGCCTGAGGAGAGGTGTTCGGATATATATATATATATATATATATATATATCAATTCAGAGGGGTACCCTGTCGGGGAGTCCCAGGGCCAGGCTGAGGACAGAGAATGAAGTCTTGCACCGTCGCCATAATTTGGCTCAAGAAATCCAGCTCCTCCCTTCCATCATCGGACATCGGGGGAGGAGATATGCTTTGCAGATTGAGAAGCCGCCCGCCACTGGTAACGTATATGCTCCAGTTTCGGAATCCATGCTGGATAAGCAGTGTTGTCCACCATTTCCATTGTTACATGACAAGCAATAGGTCTCGGCCCTGTTGCATGCGAGCACAATCACCGTGAAGGCTTCGTGCTTCATCTTAATTCCCAACTCTGGAAGTGATAAATCTTCTGCAGACGACTTGACCGAATTCAGGTCTTGTGAGTGCTGAGAGTAGCCTTTGTGCTACGATCCACTGAGGTTCATCCTGCGTTTCGATCCGTCCTCGCCGCGGCCGCCGGTCGGCCGCGGGCCCCTGGGCGGTGCTCTCTGGGCGGGCGCGCCCCGTGGCCGAGGCGGCCAGCCCGACGGCGCCCGGACGCCCGCGCGCGGCCGCGGAGCCCGCTGGGGCCGCCGCGCGCCCGGAGGAGCGCTGCGGGTCGTCGTCGTCGTTTTCGTCGTCGTCGTCGTCTTCGTCGTCGTCGTCGTCGTCGTCGTCTCCTCCCTCCTGCCTCCCTCCCTCGTCTCTCCTCCCTCCTGCCTCGGGCGTCCCTGGGTACATGACCACCGCCTGGAAGATCGATGTGCGGGGACCTCGGCAGGCGGTGGATCTGGGTAGATTCGGGCCCCAGGGGGCCAAGAAAGATATATCCGCATCCACCGCCCGCTGGGGCATCAGGGCGTCGGTTCCCAGGCGGTGGATGTGGATAAGTCCCCGCCTCGCAGGGCGTCCCTTTCTACTTCGGGGGCGACCAAGGGTAGGTTTATAGTCGGACATATCCCTTTACCAGGAGGAATGTTCAAGAAGAGTAACACAAATAAACTGGCGACGATGTTCCGTGCTCTTTTGACTATGTTTGAGCTTTGTTGACTATTGCTTAAGTTTCTTCCAAAATCCGCCTGTAGGAGGACATGCCCGACCGAAGGTTCGGTCGGGCATGTTCTCCTACATGTTGCAGGCGGGTTTGGGAAGAGAGTACCAAAGAGGCAAACAGTGCTCAAAAGCTGTCAACAAAGAGCACGAAGAAGCGTTACCACACTATCATTTGTCCTATTCTTGAATTGTCCTCCTGTAGAGCGACATGCCCGACCTAAGACCAACGGGAGGGCACCGCGGCTCTAGGCCTCCCAGATGGGGTCCGAGCGGATGGGGTCGGAGGATCGCGCCGCATCGCCGATTTATCGGCGATGCGGTTCGACGCGGAGCCCCAGTATCTCCATGCCGACGGCGCCGATTCATCGTCGACGTCAGCGATGCATCGGCGATGCAGCGCGATCCTCGGACTCCATCTACTCGGACCTCATCCAGGAGGCCTCTAATGAGGGTACCCTTGTGTCCTGTGTTTCGCGGCCCATGCCTTCTACACTCCCGACCAGCAATGTGGCCCTCAACTGCAGATTAGTCCACGTCTTCGGCCAGGCTTCTCGGCGAAGGGGAGGAGGTTGATGACAGGGAGGGATGTCACGGCGGGGGCCATGATGTCTCCCCAGGGGTCTCATGGTCCCTCGTCTGTTCTCAACACGTCCACTGCCCACCCCCCCACCCTGGTCCGCAGACATTGCCCCGGGTCATGATTTGCGAGCAGGCTGGCCCTAGACGCTGTTTTGCCTGGGCTTCGGCCGTGTGTTGCTCTTCGTTGTGGCAGGGAGGTGCAGAAGACAGGTCGAGCAACACGAAAGACAGAACGAAGACAAAACGAGCACAAAAGCAAAACAAAAGCAAAACGTTTAGGCCCAGCCTTGATTTGCGAGCCCCCCCTCTTGGACGCCCCCTCTCTTGGAGACACCACCCTCGTGGAGCGCCCTGGGGGGGGCTCTTCGGGCGCCCCTCGTCGGGCTCGAGGTACTAAGAGCTCGAACAGGTTTTTGGAGGGGTCCTGGGACACACAAATAAATACGCACAAATTAAAAAGGATTCCCCATAGTTGTCCATGATTTCTTGGTTTCTGTCTTCCCCCCCACTGCCCATATTTTCCCATATTTTTCTGGGGGATCGACGATGAATTGTGTCTGTGTGTTTTTGTCCCCTCTTTAGTTTTTTTGTTGTTGAACTCTTTCTCGGTTCGCGGGGGCCGTTCTTGGGCCTCCGGGGATTGTCAAGATCGGATCTGGGGCGCAGAAGTGCGTTGCACGGATCCTGCGGACGGGGTCCTGGGAGCGAATTTGAGCGGATTGGCCCTCTGGAATGTTTTTGCTGCGATGCTCGCTCGGCTCCAGTGCGAAAGCAGCAGCTCAACTGCGATGCAGGTGCGAGCATCGCTGCCGCTGCAGCTCGTGAACTGCACACGATGTGCAATTTGCTCGCAACCTCCGATCCAAGGGGAGGGCAGCGGGGGCGGGCCCTCTCAGAAGGGCTCAGAAGGCGGGCGCGCTTCCGAAAAAGTTGTCTCCGCCTTCTCCGCAGCCGCAGAGGGCGCCTCAGAAGGCCGGAGAGCTGGGGCGCCTTCGAGAGTGTTCTTGTTTTACACTCTGGGCCATCACGCGCGTTATGCCCCCTGCCCTCCCCCCCCCTCCCCCCCCCTGCCCTCCCCCCCCATTGTCGGCTCGGTCGGTCTTCGGTTCTGGTGTCGCCGTGGACGCCCACGGCACTGACGGGATCGGGGACATGGTCGAGGCTCGTACCCGGAGGTCTGGGCGTTGCATTTTTCCACTCTGGGCGTCCTCGCCCAGTTTCGGGCCCTCCCAGGTCGATCTGGGTTCCGTCCTGCTCGGGATTTCTGGTCAGCACGCACCCCGGGACCTTGCCTCCTGCGTCGTGCACCAGAGGCTCTGGCTCGTGGGAGGCCTTTGAGTGTCTTTTGGCAGGCCTTTCGGGTGGCCTGTTTGAGGCCCCTTGGGCTCAACTCAGTAAGGGTATCTTGGGGCCTCTGAGGGGCCTCGTGGGAACCTCCTGGGCGCCGGCCGCTAGGGGCTTCGTGGGCGTCTCTCATGGGCCTGAAGGCGGTCTCGATGGCCATCTGGGGGGTGGTGGGCCTCAAGAGGCCCCTTGGAATTCCTCCTCTCTTGGCCCCTCTTTTGGGGGCCGTCTCGGGGGCTCTAGGGCCCTTATGCGGAGCGATCTTGGGAGCCTGTTTTGCACCACCTGCGGCGCTCTCATGACGTCTGAACATCACGACGCGGCCAATGGCTCTGCGATGACCTGGGCCTCTCGCGCCGGCCCACAGAGCCGGCGAAGTGGGCCTCAGGACTTGCCCCCGAGACCATGTGCGTGAGCGCTGGCGGTGTCGATGCTCTGGGCCTCGCAGATGGGGTCCGAGCAGATGGGGTTGGAGGATCGCGCCGCATCGCCGATGCGTCGACGATGCGGCTCGATGTGGAGCCCGTGTTTCCCCACGCCGACGTCGCCGATGCATCGCCGACGTCGCCGATGCATCGCCGGTGCATCGCCGATATATCGCCGATGTATCACCGATGTATCGGCGATGCGGCGCGATCCCCCGAGCCCATCTACTCCGACCCCATCTAGGAGGCCTCTAGATGCCCAGCCCTTCTCCCGAGGCTTTCTGAACAGTCACGCGACATGCCCCAGCGCGCGCCCCGAAATGCGTATTCAGGAACACGTAACGCATTCAAAACTAGTTCAAGCCACGGGGACATGAGGACGTTCCACTCAGTGTCTGGCGACACGGTGGCGGACATACGAGTAAACAAGTACAGTCGTTGTTCTTGGCAAGGTTCTCTCATGGAGTTGAGCTGTCAATGACAAATAGTGCCCCAACGCCGACTGGCCAGCCAGCGAGTCCTCCTCACTGTTCCTCATAGTGTTCCCCCTCTCCGTCCTCCCAGACGTCCTCGTCTCCCTCTTCGCTTGTCATCCTCCTCTTCCTCCATAGCTTCCCTTCATGGCATCGTCATCCTTTCCCCCACTCCCTTCTCGCTGTTGTCGTCCTCGTTCCCCTCCGTCTTCCCGAGTAGGGCGTTCGGGACAAGCCCGGGCCAGGGCCTCATTGTTCTCCGTGGTACGTAGCCAAGGCAATGATTATTCAAAGCAACAACTTTCAATTTGGTGAGAAATCATTGGGGACTGCATTGGATGGCGCCCGACTCAGCTTTGCTCCTTCTGATGTTTCTCCTGACCTTTTCTCACCCATCGTGAGTCCCAAATGTTAGCCAGCGTGGACCCCAAGCAGTATGTTCCATCATACTTTGCATTGCGATATACCCGATGCAGCCTACGCAGTGCAATATATAAAGTGCAATCCATGCTGTGCCAATCTATGTCGGGCAATATCCGCAATGCAATCGAACGGTGCAGTCTTAAGTCATACCAACTTGGTTGCACCATGAGGTTATATGCCACGCTCTGCGGCTCTGTGCTATGTCTATATATATATAACTACATACATATATTATGTCATGCTATGCTGCGGTAAGCTGTGCTATGCTACGCTATGCTATGCTATGCCATTCGAGTGGACGAGTGCGAGTGGACGAGTGCGAGTGGACGAAGGCACGTGGCGGCAAAGGACGGCGGCGACGGACAGGTGGCGACAGGCGGCGACGGGCCGGCTGGACTGGCACCGGGGCCCAGTTACCTTAGAGCGCAAGTAAGAACCCTCAAGTGCAAGCACTGCTTGGGGAGTCAAGCTCCAGACGATCATGACAGATTGGGGATGCAATACAGGATGAAAATTAAGAAATTACCGGGGGTCGTGTTCACGCAGCGGCGCCTAAGATGATCAGAAAAACCGGCCCCAAGCTGGGACTTTTTTTCTGATCGTTCCCCCGCCGCCCAGCCCTCGGGCGCGCGCCCGGACGGCCGACGGGTCAGACGGAGCCGAAGCGGAGGGTCAGGAGGAGCAGGAGGGTAAAGGAGAACGGATGGGAGTCAACAGCAGTGGGATGCACATAGAACCACGAACCGATAGGACTTGTAGGTACCATGAGCTGGAGTAGGAGATGGACGATAAGGAAGTGCAGTTGAAGATAGAATAGGTGCTTGTGACAAGAGCTACGTGGGAGGTGTTGCAGGGGTTGTGATTGGAGCTGGTTGAGACTTGCAATAGGGACCGTGTTAGGACGTGTGGTAATCATATCTGCATTAGGAGCTGATCAGGTGATGTAGCATCAGGAGCTGTATCAGGGGATGAATTGGAGCCATCATCGGATTCCGATTGGATTCCAATAAAAAATCAAGGCCTCCAATTCCACGATTCCAAAGGAATTCAACTAGGATACCAAGGAAGTTCCAATCGGGCTTAAATCGGAATCCGATCCTGTTGAAATCGTTTCCCTAGGTTTGCTAACAAGAATCGGAATGTATTGTTTAAATCATTCATCCTTTGTCTTATGAATCGCCATCTTGCATTAGATGCCGTTGGGGATTGCAATACGGGAAGGCAGTGACTTTTCGGATTGGGAGCTTAGAGCAGCACGCAAGTTGCCAGTTGTATTCCCGAGGACGAGGTGGTCGCGCACGTTTCCAATTCCGCCCCCATGTACGGCAGCGTCTCTCCCGTCATGGACAGCTTGCGGCGTATTGTGGCCTTGGCAGTGTTTTGGTTTCTGTTGTTCATGTTGTTGATGGTGGTGTTGTTGTTGCTGCTGCTGTTGTTGCTGCTGTTGTTGTTGATGCTGTTGTCGATGATGTTGGCGTTGAGCCCACATTTCCGAGGAATGATTATGGTCGATCCCCAACCACACGTACCCACTGTGTTCTTCGCATGAAGCGCTTCCCTCGTTGCTGGCAGCCTGTTTTTTTCAACAGCGGACGTCCTGAGGCTCAGACTGCACCCCTGCGCTCCTGGCTGCAGCACCAACGCCTCCCGCCTGAGATGCCTCTTCGCTTTGCTCAGGAGTCGCGCTCTCGGTAGATACCTCCGTGCAGCAATCTGCCCAGTGATTCTGAGGAGGGAAAGGTGCCCATACCTCTACCCTTCTCTCATTTTCCCCTTGTTGGGCCTCCTGGGCGGCCCTCGACGCCACCGCTAGATTCGCCTCGAAATCCGGGTCAGAACGCACCCCGGGAGAGGTCCAGGAAGTAGCGGTATCAGTACTTTTTGGTTCTCCAGTGATCGCGCTCTCTTTTGAGGCATCCGGATTGACTTGAGGATCAGATCATCGCGCTCTCACCGCTCAGGACTCGTGCTCTCTCGCGTGGGACTTTCTCCGTTGCTGCTTGCGGAATCGCGCTCCCGCCGCTCAGGAATTGCGCTCCAACTTGGAGCCTCAAAGCCGAGGCCTGCCCCACAGTTCGGCGGCGAGCGAGGGGGGGAGGCCTTCTCAGAAGGCTGCGGGACTTCCCAGAAGCCCTCGCGCCAGAGGACGTCCGAGCCTTATGAGAAGGCCTTCTCCTTCTCATTTCCCCCCCTCGCTCGCCGCCGAGCACTGGACCCTCTCAGACCTCCGAGGGACTGCTGAGTTCTCCAATCCGGGGTCCCCAGAGGACTCGACCACTGCCCCAGGGGGGCAGTTTTTCGCCCTGGGTCCTCTTCTGGTGGTCTGAGGAGGCCCGAACGAGTGGCCCGAGGAGGCCGAGATCAAGGGACACGGCACGGAAAAACGCCAGGATTGAAATCAACGTCAGTGGCCCAAGGATTGCAAAAACACCAGGATTGGAAAAATCAAGATCTTCAGGGCAGGAAACTCAGACGCGGACGAACCGAAGCGCTCGTCTCAAGTCAACGTGTGAGAATTTCTGGGAGACGCAGGGCACGAGGAACGTCACGGAATCGTGGACACCTCCACGCGGGAAGTCCTGGAGCGGGTACACACGCCTTGCCGTGTGGCCCCATGAGGGGCCACATGCGAACCCTACCCCTACCCCCCACGAAGTGAACCCCACCCTCCCCCTCAGAAATCGCGGGGGGTAGGGGTAGGGTTCGCATGTGGCCCCCTACCCATGGGCCCCTGCGCTCCGCCCGGACCCGCCCCACCGTGCCCCCATGGGGCTCGCGCTCCCGCCGGGGAGAGATCCTCACGGCCTCACCCTTGGAGCCGAGCCGTGGCGCCTCGCCTGCCGGGCCCACCCGCTGGCACCGCCGACGGGCGAGAGTCGATCAAGCAGTGGCGAAGCGTCCCGGCTCGCCTAATTATAGCCCCACCAAGCAATGTTCTAAGAACCTTTTTTGGTTCCCACGGAATGTTCTTGGAACATCTCTGGCGGAGTCTGTCTTGTCTTATCACATCGGGTTTGTGCTCTAAGAACATTGTTTTTGTTCTCAGAGCATTCTGCTCAAAACGTCGACGCAGATCACCGCGATGCAGGCGTCGGCAGTGTGGGAGCGCGCGCCTCGCGCTCTCCTACAGAATCGCTGGGCCGTCTTCGCCCACGCTCCACTCGCAGACTGGGGGTCGTATTGCAGGGGAGCGCGGTTCGCGAGATCTCCCACAGGCGGGTTCCCAGCAGCACCGCCGAGCAGCATCGCCCGACCTCCGCCGATGGTGGCCCTCCTCGCACCCGCCCGCCGGGTCCCCGCGCGCTGGTGGTTCGCCCGCTGGCTCGCCGGGAGGAACCGCCCGCCTCGGGCCCGCGCGCCCGACCCGCCCGTTCGGGCCACTCCCAGATCCCCTCGCGCTGTGAAAAAATCACGACGATTAGAATGTTCCAACCTGCTTGAGCCTAGATCACCAGAAAGAACTTCGGGCACCAGAAGAGTACCCACAGACTCGAGGGTTTTCACGTGTCGGGCCCTGGGAGGCACTCGTCCGACACTGTTTCGATACTCTTTCGACACTTTTCCGGGTGATCGAAATTATTTAATCGCTTCGCTCATTCCGCCGGCCCGTATTGTGCCATCGCAGGCGTTTGCTTGCGCGTTCGTGGCATCTTGGAGCCTCGGTGGGGCCGTTTGGGGCCTCTTGGCGCCTCTTTTTAGGCCTCTTGGAGAACTCGGGAGGCCTCCAGGGGGCCTCCTGAGCTCTCGTGACGGTCTCTTGGGGGGCTTTCGGCGGGCTCTTGGCGGTATTTGTTGGTCCTCTTGGGGCCTGGGGCCTGACGTTGTTGGTCCTCTTGGGGCCTCACGGGAGCTTATTGGGGCGTCTTGGGGGTGTCTTGGAGAGTCTCTTGGGGCCTCTTTCGGGGTCCTGGGCGCCTTCTGGGGCGGAGGGCTCGATTTTTCAGTTCTCGGTTCCCTTCTTGAGCCCCTCTTGGGCCCGTCTTGGGGCCTCTTGGTCCGCCTTGGGCAGCACTTGGGCCGTCTGGGGGGCGCTCTTGGGCCGCTCCGGGGCCGTCTTGGGAGCCTCGTGGGCCGTCTTGGAGCAGTCTTGAAGGCCTCTTGGGCCCTCTTGGAGCGTCCGGAAGCGAAAAGGCCAGAACGCAAAAAAACATAGAAAAAACAAATGAAAATCAACGATTTTGGCAACTTGGGGCCCTCTTCGGAGGCCTCTTGGAAGGCCCTTGGAGCGTCTTGGAGGCCTCTTGGGCTGTCTTGGGGCCATCTGGGGCGTCTTCGGGCGATCTTTGGCCGTCTCGGGCCTCTCTTGGACCGTCTAGAAAGCTTCTCGGGGCCCTCTTGGACCGATCTGGAGCCCTCTTGGTCTCCGAAACAGAACTCCGGCATCTCTGACCCGACCTTGCCGGGGTACTTTTCGCCCGGGGACCCCCAGGGGCCGCCCCGCGCGCGCGAACTAGATACCGGAGATCTTAGCACGCCCTGGCCCGTTGGGCCGGCGAATTTCTGGGATGTGGTTCTTAAGTACGATGGGAGCAACATAACACGACGAGGGGTTTTCAATACTGTCGGCCTCCAGAGGCCCTTCCCGGGCCTCTGGACCGTCAACAAAACGACTCAGGATGAAGAGCCGGCCCCAAGGAATAGGTCAAAACTTCTGGGGGTCGACGTCATGAACGAAATCATGACCTCGGGGGTCTGGCTTCCTCCCGTCCCGCCCGTTGGCGTCCGCCAGGGCTCTAGGGCTCCTAGAGGGGGTCCGAGCAGATGGGGTCGGAAGGGCGCGCCACATCGCCGATGCATCGGCGATGCGCGGCTCGATGCGGAGCCCGATCGGCTCCACGCCGACGCCGCCGACGTCGCCGATGCATCGCCAGGGCACCGATGCCTCGCCGATGTGTCGGCGCTGCGGCGCGATCCTCCGACCCCATCTGCTGCGACCCCGTCCGGGAGGCCTCGTAGACCCGCCCGCCAGGGCCATCCGTCTCCTGCCGAGCCGCCCGCTCCACCCGCCCGTCGGGGTCCGCCCACCGGTCAGAGGCCGGTCAGAGGCCGCCCGTCCGAGCTGGCAGGCAGGGTCCGCCCGCTCGAGCCGCCCGGCGGCGAGCCGCCCGGCTCGCCCGAGGCGCTTGTCTTGCTGTGCCAGGATGTCCCAGAAGTTGGCACGAGAGAGGGCGCCTCCCGAGGGAGGTACCTGCATAGACGAAGAGGGCGAGACTCAACGGATTAGGGTAGACCTGTTGGGTGGCACACGCACGAGCCCAAACTGACCGTCTTGACTGATTGTTGCTGTTGCTGTGCAGGTTACATGGTTCCTCCCACTCGCTCTTGCTCGCTGTCCATCTCTGTCTCTCCTCGAGATCCCCTCCTCATCCTTCCTGCTCCCTCTCTCAACTTCTCTTGCTCAACTTCCTTGTGTCCCGCCTACTCAGTCCTTGACTGTTCTGTCGCCATCCGTGTGAGTATGACATGGTGCGCTTGTAAGCGTTGCAGCGTTCTTTGTGCAATACACGTGCTTGGGGACATGATCTTGGAGCGCTCTCTTCAGGAGGTAGGCCTGGTTTGGGCGAGCATGAGACAGGTGACAGAGCCCAACATCTGTGGACCCCCTGCCGCCGATCGCTTCAAAACCCATCCCAACATCACAGGAAACCACCAACAAATGCAGAATGCCCTGGAATCGATACTCTCTACTTCCGCCCTCAGGTTGCACCACTCCTTTGCTACGAATCCGGCCGAATCTGTTAAAATCTAATTCGATCTGGCAAAGTCTGGCGCAAGAGCTTCTCGGTCTGTCTCAGACGCTCACCGGGATGGCCCGTAAGCTCCCTTTCATGCCCACGATGCCCATCCAGGTGTCCTCACCCAGCCTCCGACGCCTCCCTGCGCTCGGGCTGTGGACCCCTGGACCTCTCGACCCCCGAAGCCGTGGCTGGTGCCGGGTCCGAGGCCGAGGCCTGAGCCGGCGCCGTGGCCGAGGCCGGGGCCGCCAGATCAGCGGCCGGGGCCGTGGCGGGAGGCCCCGGAGCTGTCGCCACGTGTCGCGGATGGCATGGGGGGTGGACAGAGCCCCCCAACAGTGACACGTCGATGAGTGAATTGTCTGTCTTCGGTTCTCGAGAGGGCGCCGTGGCCGTTCTTTTCCAGGCCTGCGCCCGCCAGGTTTGGGCCTCAGGTCGTTTTCACTGAACTACGTTTTACTAAAGGGAGGTCTGTCCATCCCCGAGGTTGGCAACTTCTTGGGCCCCCTCTGCACACCCCTGTCGGGGAAAAACGCTAGACTCGAGCACGCCAGAACCAGAACTCGGGTTCGTCTTCGCTTTTTGGCGAGCCCGCCTTGGATTTTGACAGTCGAGTTTTCGTGGGATGTTTGCGGCGGGAGCTCGCGTCAAGTTGCAGATTGGGTCTCGTCATTTTCATGATGGCTCCGTCAGGCCAACCCGAGTCCCCCATAGTTGGAGTCAGTTATATCGTGGCAGCGGCGCTCGGGCCCCGAGTCTTTCCCTGGAGACGGGCTGGTCACGTTTGGCGGCCCAGCCCCGGAAACGACCCTCGTAGGTTGAAGGTCTGAACTCCGCCTCGTCAAACTCGGCCCACCTCGCGTTCCAGCCATGATTTCGAAGGGAATCTAGCCTTGGCGACGAGGTGGCCTTCAGAGGCTCGTTTTCGCTTTTTGGGGCCTTCTGGGAGGCACTCGTCTCCACCGCTGGATTCGCCTCGAAATCCTAATCAGAACGCATCCCAGGAGAGGTCTGGGGAGTAGCGGGAAAGGCACCTTTCTGCCCCCCCAATTCACACAATTTGATCCTCCCCCCCCTCACCCTCGGGCAATTGGCCCGGGGCCCGTGGTGGGTAGGCGGCCCTCTTACGCCCGCCAGGCTTGGGGGCTATGACTCAACGGGCGCCCGCTCTGGATGCGGGAATGGTTTGGCGTGGCAGAGAGGAGGAGGGAGGAGGATGGAGATAAGGAGGAGGAGGAGGAGGAGGAGGAGGAGGGATAGGAGGAGGGAGAAGACGAGCTTCATGATGCTGATGATGATGCTGATGATGATGATGATGATGATGATGATGATGATGATGATGATGATGATGATGATGTTGATGTTGATGTTGATGTTGATGATGATGTTGATGATGATGATGATGATGATGATGATGATGATGATGGTGGTGGTGATGATGATGGTGATGAAGATGATTATGCTGATGCTGATGCTGATGATGATACTGCTGATGATACTGCTGCTGGAGATGCTGGTGGTGATGATGATGATGACGATTGTGATGATGGTGATGATGATACTGATGATGGTGATCGAGGAGGAGGAGGAGAAAGATGGAGGAGGAGGAGGAGGAGGAGTGGGAGGAGGAGGAGCAGGAAGAGGAAGGACGAGGAGGAGGAGGGGGAGAGGAGGAGTCTGATGATGATCATGATCATGATGCTGATGCTGCTGCTGCTGCTGATGTTGATGATGATGATGATGATGATGATGATGATGATGATGATGATGATGATGATGATGATGATGATGATGATGGTGATGGTGATGGTGATGGTGTTGGTGATGGTGATGGTGATGGAGGAGGAGGAGGAGGATGGAGGAGAAGGAGGATGAAGAGGAGGCTCCCCGCCCCTCGTGCGCTGGCCTGGTTGTCGTCGGCGTGCCCACTTCTACGCGACGCGGTGGCCCGTGGCCCACAGGCCCTGTGTCGACGTGGGCATCGGCGCAGATTGCACCTGCTACAGTGAATCTGCATAGTAAGGATGGGCAACCTTCCAAAAGGTATGCACACACATCGGACCCGCGGTGGCCTTGACACCCAGATCTGGACGAGCCGGTCGCGACCAAACTAAGTTCGGCCTCCGGTCGCGAATTCTGGTAACGAGCGAACCGTCGACGTCTTCGAAACCCTCGCTCGGACCCCGACGCGCCGTCTCTTCGTTACAGTCAACCCGCATAGTAAGGATGGGCAATTTTCCCATGAGTGCATTTGCATCCTTGCCTCCTCGGTCCATCCTTGGCCACTTTCGTTGGCCGAGCCCCGCTCGAGAAGCCTCGAGACGGCCTTCCATGAAACGGGTTGGCTCTGACTTTGCCTTGTTTGCCGGCCCCTGCGAGTTTCGCGCCTCGTTTCTTCGCCCGGTCGCTGCCCCTCCGCCGCTGCGTCTTTTCTCCTGGCCCTCCCCCTCGTCCTCCTCCTTTTCTGGGTCCTCGGTCGGTCCCGCTGGCACTGCCTGGGAGGTTGCGCTTGGCTCTCGCTCGCGTCCAAGACAGAGGCAGTCGGCGCACCCCGTCCAGCCCCGGAGTTCTCTCTCCAGATCATCCTGGACGACGACGACGACGACGAGGGACGAGGAGCGAACGAGCGACGACGACGACGACCACGCGGGACGACGACGACGACGACGACGACGACGACGACGACGACGACGACGACGACGACGACGACGACTGACGACCGACGACCGACGACCGACGACCGACGACCGACGACCGACGACGAGCGACGTCGTCCTCCGCCTCCGCAGATCATCCGCGACCAGAGCTGTTCGGTAACGAATCTGGGTCGCGCCGAATTTCGGTCGCGACCCCTTCTAGTTGAATATCGGTAACGAAGAGACGGCGCGCCGGTGTCTCAGGGAGGGTTTCGAAGATGTCGATGGTTCGCTGGATACCCAGAGGCCGAATTTCGGTCGCGACCGGTTGGTCCAGATCGTTACCGGAGATCTTCGGTAACAGATGATTTGGGTTTGTTCCTGCCTCCTGCCCCTTCTCGTTTGGCAGGGTCTCCGACAGCGTCCCTTGGGCGGCTCCTGGGGGGCCTTCTGGATTCTCAGGGGAGTCCAACTGTGGACGAGAAAACAAGCCAGAGGTCCCAGAACCAGGTGGCGAACAGCGACCCCGAACCTCGATATCCGACCTTCGAGGAGGAGGAGGCGGCGGAGGAGGAGGAGGAGGCCCGCCAGCTCTCAGAGATTCCTGATTCATCTTCATGCGAAGTGTTCTTTCATGTTGCCATCGTCTTTCACCAGCCGAATCCGCCACCAGCACCACATGGAGGAGGGGAAGGAGGAGAGGGAGGGAGGGCGAGGAGGAAGGGGAGGAAGAGGAGAGGGAGGAGGCGAGGGAGGAGAAGGAGGAGGAGGAGGGAGGAGGGAGGAGGAGGAGGAGGAGGAGGGGGAAGAGGAGGAGGGAGACGAGGAGGAGGCGTGGGAGGAGGAGGAGGAGGAGGAGGAGGAGGAGGAGGACAAGGAGCAGGAAAAGGAGGAGAGGAGAGGAGGAGGAGGAGGAGGAGGAGGAAGAGGGGGGGAGCAAGAGGATATGGAGGAGGAGGAGGAGGAGAGGAGGAGGCGGGGAGGAGGAGGAGAGGAGGAGGAGGAGGAGGAGGGAGGAGGAGGAGGAGGAGGGAGGAGGAGGGAGGAGGAGAGGAGGAGGGAGAGGAGGAGGAGGGAGGAGGAGGAGGGGAGGAGGAGGGAGGAGGAGGGAGGAGGAGGGAGGAGGATGGAGAGGAGGGAGGAGGAGGGAGGAGGAGAGGAGGAGGGAGGAGGAGGAGGAGGGAGAGGAGGGAGAGGAGGGAGAGGAGGGAGAGGAGGGAGAGGAGGGAGGAGGAGGAGGAGGAGGGAGGAGGGAGGGAGGAGGGAGGAGGGAGGAGAGGAGGAGGAGGGGGAGGGAGGGAGGGGGAGGGAGGAGGGAGGAGGGAGGAGGAGGGAGGGAGGGAGGGAGGGAGGGGGAGGGAGGGAGGGAGGGAGGGAGGGAGGGAGGAGGAGGAGGAGGAGGGGAGGAGGGAGGAGGAGGAGGCGGCGGCGGCGGCGGCGGCGGAGGAGGAGGAGGAGGAGGAGGATGAAAAGGGAGGAGGAGGAGGAGGAGGAGGAGAGGAGGAGGAGCGAGGAGGAGAAGAAGAGCGAGGAGACGGAGGAGGAGGAGGAGGAGAAAGGAGGAGGGGGATGGGGTAGGAGGAGAAGGAGGAAGAGGTGGAGCGGGAGGGAGAGAAGGGAGACAGGAAGAAGAGGAGGGATGGCGGAGGGAGGAAGAGGATGGAAGGAGTACGGAGGCAGGAGGCTGGAGCCCAACCACCGCCGCCGCCCCACCCCTCGCCCCCCTGCCGCGCGAGAGGACCGCAGCTCGGAGCACGGGGCGGCCCTCTCGCCCAAGGCGTCGCCCGTAACCCAGGCGGCGCTGGTCCCCCGATCTTCCTGGGAGTCAGAGGATCTAGGGCCCTCCTCCTCCCTCCTCCTCCCCCTCGTCCTCCTCCTCCTCCTCCTCCTCCTCCTCCTCCTCCTCTCCTCCTCTCCCTCCTCCTCCTCCTCCTCCTCCTCCTCCTCCTCCTCCTCCTCCTCCTCTCCTCCTCCTCCTCCTCCTCCTCTCTCTCTCTCTCTCTCGCAGCGCCCTTGGGCGTTCCCACAGGTCGCCGCGACCCTCCCGACGCGCGGCCGCGCGATCGGGGCCGACGCGGGACCGAACCTTGGGGAGGTTGGGAGGAGGGAGAGAGGGCCGCCCATTCTCTTTACCATGCTGAGGCCCATACATCGGGGGCAACGATAGGGTGGATAGACATAGGGGGTGGATGCATCGACTTCCAATCGCCCATTGATCGCCGATAGGGGCCCGGTCGCCCTAACCTTCCCAGGAAGGTGCGAATTCACGATCGGAGGCCTATCGCCGATCTATCGGCGATGTATCGCCGATTCAAGGTTGATGCACCCCGCCTATGCCAGTCCCCCCCGATCGTTGCTCTTCAATGCAAGGGGGGACGGAAGGAGATGGGAGCGGCCTGTGCCGCTCAAGAGGTGTGGTAGCTGTTACCGATGACGGCGCATCCTGCGCGTGATGTTGTTGATTCGGGATCACGTCCATCACATTGCTGCTCGGTGAAATTGACTCCACTGGGGCATCTCCTTGGACCTGAAAGGCCGCGTCGTTCTCCGCGTCCTGCAGCCCCTGGTCCAGGTCCTCAAAGGGGTCGCGGTATCCTTCATCACAAGTGTGCCGAGACTCTCCGTTGACTGGGGCCTGCAATTATGAGGCCACAGACGGGCCCTGCACTCTGACGCCATGATTCCGCGCGTCGGTGCAGAAAGGCAGAGGTGGCGACTGTGAACCCAACGTCTCCGTCGGGAATTGCGCTCTGACGCCTAGGCAAATCTAACTCCCGATGTCATCGAGGAGGGTCTCCTTGGTGGAGCCTCCGAGAGGTGCTGCACTCTGACGTCGTGATCCTCCGCGTCGGTGACCAGCGGTGGTGGCGATTGCGAACCCAACATCGCTGTCGGGATTTGCGCTCTAACGCCTCGGCAAAACTGCGACGGTGAACCCGATTCGAGGAGCATCGGGATTTGCGCTCTAACGCCTGATGGGCTCGCTGAGGGCTCCCCTGGTGACGCCAAGGAAGCCGAGGCCCCACGTGGAAATCGGAGCTGCCGCGGAAGCTGGAGCGCAGGTGGACATCGCAGAAGGCGGTACCGTCCCCGTGCATGTGCCGTGGCTCGCTCCCCTGCTCTTTCCACTCGAAGCTCCCGACTCCCCCCCCCCCTGGGGCGCACGGGGGTTGAGGGCCTGGGGTGAGCCTGGGGGAGGCAGCCACGGCCGTGCCAGCAGCCGCCGCCGCGCAGGCCGTAGCCGAAATCTTTGGCGATGCCGTAGGTGAAGTAGATCTGCCCTTACCCACTTCGATGGCCGCAGCCGAGGGCGGGCCTTCGCGGTCGGCCTGACCGCCATGCCCGAGTCGAAGACTACTGTTGGCCGACCGCGGTGGGGAAGGCGAAGAACGGGTTCCAGCTTCTCCCGTTGCTGCACTTCGTAGGAAAGGCCGTCCGCAGAAGGGGAGCTCGACAACGAACTCGATGTTGACCTCCACCTCCCTCCTGGGTGTCGGTGGGCCGCGCTCGTCGAAGATCTCAGTGGCGGCGGTCATGGACCTCCGCTGGCGCGCGAGCTCCTCCTCCCACACCTCTCGGTCCGTCTGCTGGAGCCGCTGCAGGTTGCCGCGGTAGTTGGCGCGCGTGCGCCTCCGCGCCCTCCAAGCAGAGGTGCACATTTCCCCGGCGATGTCCAGCTGTGCGAACGCTGCGTTGTCTTGACCTGCCGCCAAGAGCGCGTCGTCAGTGAAGTGACGGTTAGCAGGGTGAGCCAACCACGTTGCGACGAACTCGACACACAACCCCAAGAAGTGCGTTTCGTCGCCTTCCTCGTCCAGGACCGTGGGGTCTTGCATCCAAGTCTGGGTGTAGGCCCTCAGTCGATGCTCCAGCAGCTGTTGGTGTTGCACCGCACGCCGCCGTGCTGGGTCCTGGTCTTTTGACTGCATCGGCTGTGAGCTCTGGTCAAAGAGGCTTCTGGCCTGCGGGCTTAGCGGCCTCGTCGGCCTTGGCCCTTGGCCACGGCGGCCTGGGCGGCCTTGGTACGGGCGGCCGCTCGGCATGCCTCGGGGCCGCTGAGGTCGCGCACCGCCACCCCAGTGCCATCTGGCACAGCAGGAGGGGCAGCAGCAGCGGGGGCAGCCACGCTGCCGCTGGCCGCGGCCGCTGAGCCGTCGGCTGCCGTGGCCTCGCCGTCAGGGCCGCGGCGCCGTTTGGTCTGCAGCCTGGCGTGCAGCTTCTTGGCCTCCTCGCGGAGCTTGGCGATCTGCTCTGCGGCTGGGCCGAGGGTTTGCTGCACCTTCTCCTGGACGCTGGCCGCGAGCTCGGCCTTGATGCGGTTCCACTCGTCCGTATCGTTGCTGTCGATCTCGAGCCCTTGCAAGTGGAAGAGCGGCCCATTGACGATCTGCAACGTGCCCTCGTCAACGAGGGTGGAGAGGTTGATGGCCGAAGCAGCGGGCACCTTGATTAGGTCCGCCTCGCCCTCCAACGGGGGCGGCGGCAGTTGCTTGCTGCCGTGGCGGTGTCCGCCTCAGCTTTGGCCGCGGCCAGCCATACCTCGGCCTCCAGCACCCGCGCGGCGCATGTCTCGAGCCATGCCTGCGCGCGCCTGCACGCAACGCCCTTGGTGGAGACCTCCTCTTCCAAGAGCGGCGCCCGACGAGGTGCTGGCGCGGGCACCTGCGCCTTGGCCTCCTCTCTCTTGGCGGTGAGGGCCGCCAGCTCTGCGCAGTCCCCCAGCTTGGCTCGCAGGAGCCCGGTGGGGCCCGCAGCGGGAGCGTCCTTTTCCTCTGCTGCTGCAGGCGAGCCGCCGCCGTAGGGGTACCAGCCAGGCCCGTTCCAGACCCAAGGCCGTCGGACGACGTGACCGCCCGTGGCGGCTCGCGGCGGCACAGGCGGGCCCTTGCGCCCAGCCGTTGGCGCGGCCGCTTCCGCAGCCTCCCACCAAAGCATGACACCTTGAGCCAAAATGGCTACGGAGGGAGGACGGAGGAGGAGGAGGAGGAGGAGGAGGAGGAGGAGGCGGGAGGACGGAGGAGGAGGAGGTGGAGGAGGAGGAGGAAGAGGGAGGACGGAGGATGAGGAGGCGGAGGAGGAGGAGGATGACGGAGGAGGAGGACGGAGGTGGAGGAGGAGGAGGAGAGAGGACGGAGGAGGAGGAGGAAGAGGGAGAACGGATGATGATGATGATGATGATGATGATGATGATGATGATGATGATGATGATGATGATGATGATGATGATGATGATGATGATGATGATCATGATCA